CATTATTGCATAAATTTTGCAAAACAATCTCTTCGTCATTTAAAACTAGAGCAGGCACGAAAAATGTCAAACTTACAATTCTGCAACATAAGTAAGTTTTTAAATTTTTGTTTTACTACTTTATAGAATACATCCATTATTTACGTTTAAAGAAGAAAATTCTTCAACTAAAAGTTGCTTGCGATGTTATTTATTCTCTATAATTTTTGTCCTATACATAATTTTCCTAAAATGGTCTATATTCGAGAAGTTTGACAAAAGTACAAATTACGAAGATAACTCAAGAACGGATAAAGATAAAAACATCAGACTTTAAATTTAAGCTTTAATCCACCCTGCGGTAACCTGATTAAATTTTGGGCATAGTTGAAAAATCTGGGTGGGTACTTGATAGTAGGTCTACTTTAGAGAATATGACTGTTATTTACGCTTGGAGAAGAAATTTCTTCAAATAAAAGTTGCTTTTAATATTATTCTCTATAATTTTTGTCACACACATAATTATCTTAAAATTATCCATATTCAAGAAATTCGGCAAAAAGTGCAAAATTCGAATCAATCTCTATAATTTTGTTCCATACACGATTCCTCTAAAAGGGACCGTAATGGAAAAGTGTAAAATTTTAAGTTTTCATTATTTTCGCTGGCAATGAATATATATAAAAAATGTTTCCAAGTAAGATGTTTGTGAAAAATGTATATATTTAGTTCTTCCTCTAAACATTTACAGGGATGATACAATAAATAGGTTGTACAAAATAACCAAAAAAAAGTCTGTAATAACTAGACAGAAAAGTCATGTGTTCGACACATCATATTTTTTATTTTTTATCAGTTGTGTTATGTTTTTTTAAAAGTACTAATTAAATTTGTAAGTTTGCTATTTATTTATAAATAAAATTAACTTCTACTTACCTACTTTTTCTTTATCCCACAAAAGGTGACATCCTAATAGAAATTTTATTAGATTTCTTAAATATTGTTAAGTATGTTGCTTTAGTTAAAAATAATTTTTTAAATTTATTTACAATATTTTATACATTCAGTATTGTACAAATAAATCATAGGACTGAAGAACCTTGATAGAAGACCTATTTGGTAACAATTCAATAAACATTTTAATATTTTATTTATTAAATCTTTATAATATACATTTGTTTTAACAATTTTGGTAAAGTAAATTGATTTTTCAAAAATTCGAGGCCATATTTTTCATGCTTCTTTCCCCATTAAATGAATAATTTTATACCATCTGGGTAGTAGGTACCTGAAATGTAAAGTTATTTATTTTCTATTTGTTTATTATATCTTGTTAAGGCAACAGATAGGGATTTTTCTATAAGTATGGTCTCTTGTATTTTACTATTACACATTCCACCTTCACAGCTAGATAAATTCCTGTAAACGTGTACCATAAAAATACTCATTATGCCCTAGAGCATTATGGTTTGTAATGCCCATTTATTTATATTTTCGATTATTCATTTTCAACATTTTTTAAGAAAAGTACAAATATTTTTTTATTTTTAACAATTCTTAAAGCTAGCAGCAAGAACTAAATTTTAAATCATACATACAAAAATATTATATATAACAATGTAATATAACAAGTCATCAACTACCTGGTAGAAAAATTAATGAAAAATCAGTTTTTTTTTTTATTTTTAAGGTCGATTCTCATTGTAGTACAGGTCACGCTCCACTAAAGGCATAATTTTTTGTCTAATTCCAGTGGACTTATTCTCTCTTGGTAAAATTGTCTATCGAAATGTAGTTATTCTGCTTTATCAAATCTGCTGATCGTGAAAATATTTTACAAAATTTGTTTCGTTGTCAACAATGCCTTTATATAGAGTGAAAAATTCTCCTTCGGTTTTTCGTTTTCTTAAAATTGCGTTATTGCTCTTCATCATCCAAACATATCTTGCAATTGCAGCTAAATGTGTGTCAATGCTTTTCATAAAACTGATTAAAAAAATATTAAAATGAGTGCCATATGCATTTGAGTGTAATACATTAATACTACTTTACATCCTTGATTGTGAGCGGATCGTGAGAATCGGCCTTTAGTAAAAAAAAAACTACCTATGAGCATTATTAAATGTAAGGAAGTCTATTGATATGATGGCATTTGATTTATCTAGGACAAGTATAAGATGCACAGGTAATGTATCCAGCTTTATTTAGTGTAGTCTAAAATAAGCAATATTTTTACTTTAAAATACCAAAATTATAAAATATTTACTTTACCTCAACTATATACGACTCTTCCTTCATATTAGCCAAAATTTCTTCTATTAATACGAAATACGATGCATATTTTAAAGTACCGTTTGGCGATTAAAATAAAATCAAAATGTATTTTAAAATATTTTACTTGCTCCATAGTTTAAGACTATTTTTCTACATAGTTATTGTTCATTTCATTTTAATACTTGTTTTGATGTCACATTACACCAAAAGTCTGAAAATAATAGTGTAAAATATTAATTAAAATAACAAACATAACCTCAAGCTAATTATTAAAACTAATAATGTACTTAATAAAAAGCTTACCTTTAATATTATTTAAGAAAAGCTATTATAAATAGACAGTTTAACAAATATTTAAATAACCGGTCTTATTCAAATACAATTTATAAATGAATACATAAATTGCTTATGGACATTTAAATTTTTCCATTTTAGCTAAATAATACATTTAAAAACGTTCATTTTTAAAGAAGATCCAGGGGGCGCAAGCGTACAGTGGTAAAAATTTACAAGTTTGTCAAATTTCTAATAGATGTCGCGCGCGACAGCATCCAATAACTTTTTACATTGCATTATCCTACTATATAATCATCATACAACGATATTACACAGTAGCAGAATTTTATAACGTACCTTAGACATTTGAGTTCCACATACAATGGCATTAATTAAATAATTAAATATTAAAGTTTAAATTTAAATTTAAAAATTAAATTAGAATAATTATAATGACGGATATTGCATATCCATTGCAATTGTTATTCCTATTTTGTCTGTTTGTTTCTGTTTGTTTTTTCTGCTGTTTAGTTATTTTTATAATATGTTTAGTATTTAAGTTACACGCTTTGTCTATAAAATTTTTGTAAATTTTTTTACGACAATAAAGCATATCTCTCTCTCTCTAAATAAAATAGAGCCATTATAAAAAAAAATCAAAGAACAGGTCCTACGCTGAGCGTGTAGCGCAATAGTCGCCTGGTCGGTTACTCATCGGGATTTACAACTCAAAAACAGATGCGATTTGCAATTTTGTCGATTCTAAGCAAACTTACGGAGAACTCGACCGTAGCGCATGCGAGTCGAGACGAACCCATCGCTGTGCAGGACCGTACCTGTTTAAAATTTTCAATTAATTTTTAATTATTTTTATTTTAAATATTTTGGAAAAATAAAATCTGCGAATCGGTCTCAAATTATGCGAACTACCACCCCTACAAATTTGGACGCCAAGTTCGGAAACACCCTGTATATTTAGTTTATCATCTAAACATTTATAGAGGTGCTGCAATAGGTTGTACAAAATAACCGGAAAAAGCCTGTAATAACTAGATAGGAAAGTCATGTGTGGTAATTTTAGTTGCCAACAAAATCCGAAATAATGTCAAAATAATTGTATCCCACTGTGTAACACTCAGTGAAATGGTATGGGTATTTAAAAGATTAACTAAATTACATTTGACTGCTTATACCCACGCATGTTTTCCTAAAAGATACTCGTATAATGAAGAAACTTTGGTATGTATTACAATTTAAAATTTCTAGTAAGTTCATTCAATAACCTCAAGATAATATTTTAATATTCTTCGATCTTTAGAAATATCTGAGTCTAATAAAGGCTTTAATCATATTATATTAAATTAATATCATCCAATTTAAGAACTTCAAGTTAGCTGGGGAGAGATGTTGACGATTACGCAGTCGGTAAACTTAACGCCGCCATGTTTTTCACATCAAATTGCGGCGTAATAGTCGAGTCTACAAACTTTACTCTTCTTGTGGCAATTTTCAGTGTGACTTGCGAGATTCTTGTTATTAAAAGGTTAATCGTTCATTTTGGAAGACAAAGTACTGGCTAAAATTCCGACACCAATTTAACTATGTGTGATGTCCATGTTTCTCTTATATTGTTCATAACGTGTCTGAAACTAACAACTTTCATCTTAACCTAAAAAAATATATAGTTTGTGTAAGAAAATTTACTCAATGCTTCAGTATAATTTGGAGAAACCAATAGTTACTAGAGCCAGTCTATCTATGGGGTTTCAGGGCTGCATTCGTGCTAACGACAACATTTTCTTACGCCACTTTTTAACAATTTTGTCCAATTTCCCGACCACTATAAATCCAAATCCGCAAAAATATCGTCTAGTCGTCTGTGCGTCCGTATGCATGGAGGTATGTATTTATTCATGTATGTGGGCCGACACAATAATTCTAGAACAAAAGTTCCAATAAACTTGCTATTTCAATTTTATTTGATAAATTATTCCAAACGAGAACCTTATTGATTTTCAGAATTTTCGGTTAAGCTTTAGTGCCTTAAATATTAGAGTTGTTAAATTACAAAGTATTTCTCATGGACATTCTTTTAAGCAATGTGGCACGGGTACTATTGTCACTAGATGGCCATGCTAGACTACTGCGAAACCGTAGATATTTTTTTATAGATCTGATATTGCTGTGGTTTTTAAACGTTAAATATATTATTTAAAACATTTAAATAAATATTTTACCTGAATGGCGATAAGTGAAAATAATTGTTTTAGTTAAAAGAAGATAACATACAGGATGGTGATGTAACGATGATTTTTGCACAAGTTTTAATGAATTCGAGACTTGAACTCGTATCTGAATTTGATATTAGAATCATAAAGGTAAAGGGCCCAAATAGTATTTTTATAAAAAAAAACATTTTCTGAATTTTGAACTGTCGTTTACTTTCAAAAGTTGCTATAATTTCTTTTGATTTATTCTGGAGCGAATAAAGTCGTCTCTTGATTCTGGACCCTTAGATTATCATCAGTAAAATCCCTTAAAACAGGAGGCTGTATCACATCGCACTCATTCCAGTAAATTAACTCAAAGTAGTCTGTAACACTGAAATTAAGTTTTGGTATCACTAAGTGTCTTATTTCAACCGTTTCTCCACTGGTTTTTCTAGCTTTTAAGATCCTTCGTAGAGATAGTTCCCGAACCCATTCACAAGTATCTGTTAGCATAAAAAATAGAATGTTTTTGGGGTGTATAAAATACGCGTTTCTTTGGATTACAGTATCCACAATTCTTTCTAAATCATCTCTTAAATACAGTGACAGCTCAATCGTTTTAAATACATGAAAACTACCACAAGTGGAACTGACATTTAGTTTAATATTAAACCATATTGGGACATACACTTTAATTATGAATTCGGTCACATCCGTAAGGCTTGATGTTGGCTTTCCCGTTCCAGCATTGGGCCGAAGACTACGATTTGCCATTGTGAGCCATCTAGATTGCGTTAATTTCCCAGGATTACGGTGTGCTAAATTTGATGAGAAATTGCTGCTTGATATTGCATTGCAAATGTCATATAAATATGATTGATCAGAACTTAAATATCTAGACATTACAGTTATATTTGGCAACTCACATTTTATTGGGGTAAAATTTACAATTTTAAGATGTTAGCATTTTTCTAAAGACCTTGATTTCACCAGAATATTGACTAGTTCCTACAGTGCTGCCATCTAAATGTTGGAATAAATGTCTTAATGGCAATTCGTTAGCGTGTAGTTGGCAAATATACCATTGTAAAAAACGTTTTATTTTTGTCTCAATATACCTAATAACACCATTTTTATTACCGGTGTTAACAACAGTACCATCGCAACCCACAGCCAATTCTTTTTAGCAAAAAATTCCAATATTGCTTTTCCAATTAACTTTTCCATCCCTGTAGTTGGAGTTACGTGGCCAATATAAATAGATTCAGGTTCTTCGACAATAGTTTTCTATTTCTATATTGTTTTTGCTTTCTTATTACTTTAATTGCTATCTCTGTAAATATTTTTTTGTCAGAGTCTTTTATTTAGGGTGTGTTTCAAAACGTAAAAGGCTCTAATTGTAAATTCTGTAGCAATTTCATTAAATAATAGTGCATCCAGTTCAAATATACAATTCGCGAATCACATTTCAGAATATGTTAAGGTTGAAGCACAAACACAGCAGCATAAAATAGATTTGCTAACCCGCAATGAAAAACAAGAAATTAGTTGCAAACGTAAACTAAGTTAGTTATTAGTATTAGTGATAAACAACTTTCCAAGCAGAGAGAAAGTGTTTTGTAATAAATAAATGAAAGTAGAGTTAAAAATTTAAGGCCTATATAGACAAATAATTATTTTATTAATAGAGAATAAAAATTTAGTTAATTTTTGTAAGAATGAGAGGAGACTACTTATTTAAATGACAATTATTGTTATTTAATACGAGCATTTGATACAATAGTATGTAATAAATAAATTCGAATACAAAAAACAAAACGAAAGGTCATTTTTCTAATTTTGACATAAAATCGACATCTTTTGTAATCGCAGCAAGTGTCAAAACGATCTACTTTACTCAACCAGTTGCATAAAGTTGAAAATTATGAAACTGGTTACGAAAAATTCATTAGGTCACCAGTTGGTGAATATTAATTTTAATCAGTATCTAATTTAGTTAATATTCAATATTTAACTATTATTGTATTTAAGAAAGTTTAAAACAAATAAGATCACTAAATGTTTTATGAAAAGTGCTTTTGTGTGTCTTTCCAAAATTTTGTTGATCGCTTTACGAATAAACAGACAAAATTTCAAATTTTATTTCTCAATTTCCGACGTCGCAAAAGAGGAAGTAAAACAGATTTAGTGAGTATAGCTGATAACATCAATTTAAATTAGAAAATCAGCTTAAGAATTAATTTAGTATCTTTACTAAAGTGACTTTAATTTATTAATTTTATTTGATAATTAATTTGCTAATTTATGTTGACAAAGTTGATACAAAAAAAAGTGGAATGCGAAAATAACTGTAGTCGACTCTAGTTTTCTGAGCCTAACTACAGGGTAAATCTTAAGTCAACACTTTTTTTAACTGTATATAGAAGTCGTTAAAATAAACATCTTTTTTAAATAACTTTTTTCAAAACACTCAAAAATAAAAAAACAGAACTTAAAAAATCTTAAAACGGGCTTGGACTTGTGAATCAAAAATTAAGTAAAATGAGTCTTTATCTGTTTTACCTTTTTTTAGATTTTTCTTATGTTAAAAATCACGCTTCATCGGTTATTGTAATTTAATCATGTGTAATTTTATTAGCTTGTTTATATAACAATAACTTGTGGATACATTGTTTATTTATGGCGACTTGACATGCTTCAAAGTGCTGCATTGGTGTTGTACAGTGAACGCTTTATCTTACGACCCTATCATAGTCCCAGAACTTTCAATAATTTAACTAAAGGCTAGGAATACGAGTGATTTGCGTAAAATCGTGGAGGGCATGTCGGAAGGCCGATACGAGAAAATATGAAGTGTGTTTGTGTTAAAGCGCGTTTGTGTTGAAGTGCGTTTATGTTGAGGTGAATGAACAACTTTGAACACATTTAAGTTAGGCAGGACCATACTGAATATATCTTGTAATACATTAACGTAAGTTTCTAATTTTTTTTTAAAGTTAAAAAAGTAGTTTATTTCAATGACTTTTATACAAAGTATCAACTTAGGAAGAACCCTGTATAGTGACCTTCGTCTGCCAAATGGAAACCCCAGATATTAGATTTGACTTTATGCCGATTTAATCTAAATTACGTTAATCCGAAAATGCTTCATAATGGAGCTAGAAATCTTTGAAGTTGCGGCGCCATCAAGTCAATTTTTTGCACATATTCCAGAAATGACATTATCTCCTAAGTTTAAACTCTGCACATTGACTATGCTTCTAATTACCAATCCGCCACTGTAAATTTAATTTTTCTATTGTAATCCTAAGAGGCTAAGATATGGAGTCAACAGACATTTTAAATTATAATTCATGGTACAGCAAAAGCAATACTAGCGTAAGCTGCGGATAATATGAGCTTTAATACGATATTTTGTAATAAATGCACGAAAAGATACACTTTTTTCAAATAGTTAAAAACAATACACTGAGCCACCCGAGTTGTGTTGTAAATTATTGTAAAATTTTCAGTAGCATAATGGAAAATTAAATGAATGGTGCATTTCTCATATACGTACAGTACTTTTTTTTTCGTGTTAGGCATACAAATAGTATATAGATAAGCTAATACAATGACAACATGCCAACAGCCAGTCATCGACTAGAATAAGAAGATATGGTGGTGGGATATTAACCGAACCGAATGTTGGTGACAAAACCAGAGTGCATAGCGATAGCGGTAATATCGTAGTTGCCACATGTTCACTGTGATAACACGGCTATGCCCAATACAAATTAATTAGCACTATATACCGATGCTGTTTAGAGGTATTTGAAGATTTGAGAACGAGTTGGAAAGGACGTTTGGCCCAAATTAATACATTAAATTGCTCTCTAGGAATCTCGACAGTAAATGTCGACCTGGTGGTCTAGCGGTAAGGACATTTGTGTACAGAACAAAGACGTTTGGGTTCAAATATCCAAGTATTTGCTTTCACCTTTAGGGTTCGGGGATAATCTTAATAATTCGTAGGGGATTTTTGAGACTCATAAATTCACTTGTCATAAATCCGGTTAAAAACTCGCTACAATGCGCAGGCATCCCAATTTCGTACACAAATACAAACTTTTGTTTTCATTTTATCGAAGTAGTTTTTGTAATACAGCTTAAAAACGGAAAATTTGTTATTTTGATAGTGGACTTAGATCAAAAATACCCCAAATACACTTCAGTGTGTGTTTTATCCTTATTGTCGATGATGGTGGGTGAGGTTTTCCGGGTTTTCCTCACCTGTAAGTCAAATGGCACCATCAATCATCCTTAAGTCGCCCCGGAGCGCCACGGCAAATAATAATAATAATAGCCGTCCCTTCCCCTACACAAGTCGTTCAGTCGACTTCAGGGGTTGAAATTCACTCGTAAGGGGGGTGAATTAGGGAGAGTATTATTATTATTATTATTATTATTATTATTGTTACGTATTATTGCTCGTTTTATTTGAGGACATTGAAATAAAAAGAGTATTAGAAGTAATCAAGCTTAAAAGATGTGTTATAAAAAGAAAATACATTGTATTTGACTGATTTATGTTTAATAGGTTTTCGTGAAGTATTTCAAACATGCTAGTTACTTGAATGGTTGTAAATTATAAGTGTACTCGTATAAGTGATAGAAACTGATCTAGTGTTTTGTGCTCCTTGTTTTTTTTGTTGATGTCCTAGCCAGCAGTAGTAGCAAACACATTAAAATTGTCTACATTCAACCCATTTACATGTACACGATTTATCAGCTATAAGCAGAATACAATATTTCTCTGAAAAATGTAAACAACGCTACAAGGAAAATTGCTCATGTATAAATTCAACAATTAAATCAAAATATATTATTTTTAAAGGATTTATATCAACTATTATGTTAATTATAAATAATATAATATAAATAAAAATAATTTGAAATGGTTCTGTCCTTTTTACATTTGCGAAGACTGCCCTGATATCTAATCGATTTTCTTCTTCAAAGTAATTAAGTCAAGTGTCAACTAATATTACTACTTTTAAAGATCAAACGTGCCGCCTCAGAGTGCCAGTACCACATGATTTGTGGCCAGTACTGATTGATACATAGGGCGTTTTCTAATATTCAAAAAAATTACGTACTGATGATGGATCACGTGACCAATAAATGGCCGACTACTGCAATCCTGATTTTAATTTCATGAAAATTATTTAAGAACGACTGACATTTGCGATTGTGTAATCTTAATTGTCAAACTGTCTTTATTTAATGAAACAAAAAAAACATTTCAAACACTTTTTGATAATCATGAAAACTAAAAACAAGAATGGACAATACAATAATAAAAAAATATGTACTTGCCTTCATTTGCTTGCTGTTTATCTAACGCTTACAATCTTATTTTAAAAGTTAACCAACTTAGAGGTTGGTTTAATAAAACCCAGTGAGTTTCTTTATTTATATTATTAAGAATTTTGAGCGAATTTTTCCCATTTCCTTATCTGTTTAATAATAATTAATAATTTAAGGTTATGTCACGTGATCCATCGGTGCATCAACATAATCGAGTCGATGGATTTGGTTACAACCATCTGAGAATTAGGTTGAATTTAAGAATTTGATGTATGACTCATCTAAAAATTTTTGATGGAGAAAAGAACAGTTTTGATGATTGTTAGATGGCATCAATGAATAGAAAACGCCTATATACTGGGGCCGAGAGCAATAACTCTTTAGTCCAAGTTCAACACGTTGTCACTTGGCAAGTGACGGCTACT